GAATATCTAGGCCCGGGGAAAGAATTTCTCCTCTCTTTGCGATAATGACATCGAAACCGGCGAGCGAAACGCGGGCATAGGATGCGCGGGGAAAGGGGAGGGGAGCGGGATGAATAGATTTAAAATTAGACCGCGATAAACGCATCTTCCCCTCCCCAGTCCCGCCTCTATGCAATCCCCGATCCTCCTTGGAAAAAGTAAACGCATCGATCACGCACGTACAATTATTTTAATTTCAAATGTCACGGTGCGAAATTCATCGTCTCGTTTTCGGTAAACAACCGAAGCAAATGTGAAAGGTTAACGACACGATCGACCGTATAATTTTCATTGTTTTCGCGCGATTTCCTCTCTTTTTATATACATATATATATATATATAGAAAAATTGGCGCATTCCTAACAATAATTCTGCCCTCGAATCAAAGCAGAAACAGATATTACAGAAAATTCGAGCAAAAATTCGTTCGAATATTTTTTTCTTTCTTTCTTTCTTCTCCCTCTCTCTCTCTCTCTTCTTTTTCGACGCCAAGAACGAATCTGTCTAGAGAAATACCGCAGACTGCCATATGCTCGCAGCCGGCTCCGTCGGAATAAAAAGATATTAAACCGAGAGAGAGACGGAGAGAGAGAGAAAAAGAGAGAGAGAGGGAGAGAGAGAGAGAGAGAAGAGAGCGAAGGAACAAAGAAACTCGTGCGCTCTAAGGCCCCGATCGTTGCGACAAGTGGTCGTACGTTGTACTTTCTATCTGGCACGATTGTTTTTTACGTAACCGGCCATTACGAATCAGAGATGATTAAAGAACGGGCGGAGCGTGCTATTTATTGACAAGAATAAAATTTCACTTTATCGGCATATATCGAATGATAACGAGCTTTCTAAATTAAATCTACGAAGCTTCTAGACCTTGCTCTTTTCCCGATAAAATCGTCACTATTACCACTATCATCACTATCATTATCGTCGAGTACTCGATACGAAACGGCCTCTTTCCTAATAGAAAATACAAATTCCGATCAAAGAACCACTACTACTACTAGAAAATAGAAAAGGAGGGGGAGGCGATCGAATCTACTCGCGGCTTTAGCTTCAATTTTAACGAAACGGTTAAAACGATTAGGCGGAAAGTTTCGCGGGCCCGACCGACCGACCGACGACCCTGCAATCCTATCTCCCGTCGCCTGTTCGACGGTCTGAAACCTTGCCAAAATCGCGTCGTTGCAGTTGGTTGGATCCGAAAGAAAAAAGAGAGAGAGAGAGAGAGAGAGAGAGAGAAAAGAAGAAAAAAAAGAAAAGAAAAGAAAAAGAAAAGAAAAAGAGAAAAAAAATTGCCCGTCGCGAGCGAGCAAACGCGCGCGACCGCGATAGATAGGAGACGAGCGCAAGAGCCGAGGAGTCTTGGCCGAGATAAAAATGCGAAAAAACAAACGGTCGTTCGCTGCAAATGACCGATTAGAGGAGGTGTCCCTGGCCAGGCATTTTTTTTCCTTTTTTTTTTTTTCCAACCGAGTATAATTTTCACGGTCAAGAATGATGAGTATCGTTTTTAATGGCCGTCTCTACTCGAGCATTACCCGTCTATTTTCGCACGCCCGTAACCGTCCTCCTGCTGTTTCTTCGCTCTCGCACGAATGGAGGAAACCTACCATGCGTAGAAAGAGAGAGAGAGAGAAAGAGAGAGAGAGAGAGAGAGAGAGAGAGAGAGAGAGACGGAGAGGAAGAGAGGCGACGACTTTTTCGAAAAGAAAAGGAGAGAGGGAGGGGAAGGGTGGTAGAGGAGGAGGAGGGAGGAGGGAGGAGCAGACAGAGAATACAGCGAATTAGGCTGCGGGACGAACAGTTTCGCGGACAAGTATAATTTAATGCGTCTAATGATTCGCAGCGCGCCGTAAAGAACGTGAGTGGCGTACCAAGGTCGTGGTATTTTTAGTTTGGCCAATGTTTAGTTGGCCACGTTCGTCAGAGAGATAGAGGGACCTTGAATTTCGCGGATAACATCTGCGGCCTTATCGACGGCCCCTGATAACTTTTTCAGTACTAACCTAGTATAAGCCAGCCGTTCAAATATTAAATTCGGAGGAGGAGGCGGCGATTGGCCGCACCTGAATTTACTTAACGACGTTACTGCTTACAGGACGCGTTTATTAAAGAAAAAAAAAAAAAAAAAAAAAAAAAAAAAAAAAAAAAAAA